TTTCTTTTTCTTGGGTGAACTTTGGTATTTTTTTGTCTTTTAAGGAGTTTTGTTCATTTCACATACACTGATGCACTTCCAGACATAAAGTAGTATCTACTATGTTTTTACTATCTGTAAACTCTGTAAACTCTTTCTCACTCAGATTAATATTTTATATCTTCTTTTTCTCTCTTTTCTCCCTCATCCATCTAACTAGAGATGTATCCATTTTGCAAATCTCATTTTTTATTTTATTAAACCCTAAAGCAATTGAAATAACACAATAAAGAGCTATTGGTAATAAGTCAACAAAGGGAAAAAACAGACCATAAAATATATGAAGTGGTATTTTTGTCATGGCCTATTACGATGTTAAGCATCTTTTCATGTGCATATTGACCATTTGTGTATCTTCTTTGGGATAATGTGTACAGATCCCTTATGCATTTTTTAAATTGAGTTACTTGCCTTTATTATTATACAGAGTTGTAAAGGTCGTTTTGCTTTGTTCTGTGACACATGGTCTCACTGTGTAGTCCACAGTCGGCTTGAACTCACTGTGTGGCCCCAGGTTGGCCTCAACCTCTCAATCATGGTGCCTCAACCTCCCAAGCACTAGAATTACGGGCGTGCACCACCATAGCTGGCATGAAAGTCCTTTATAAATACAGTCCCTTGTGAGATACATTATTCACAAATGTGTTCTCCTCATTCTCTGGGTTGTCTTTCTACTTCGTTGAAGCTTAGTAGTTTTTTATTCCAATTGATCTGTTTTTGTTTTTGTTTTTTCTTTTGTGACTTGCCTTTACTCTGGTATTAAGCCTTTAAAAATCATTGCCAAAAAAAAAATCACTGCTTTTCATCCCTGGTAACCCCCCTCCGCCAAATCATTCTTAATCCAAAGTCATGAAAATTTATTTACTTTTAGTTTTTCTTCTATGGGTTAGTTCTCACCACTAGAGCCATTTGAGTCCATTTTTATGTGTTGTCTAAAGAAAAGAATACGGAGGGGTGTGTGTATCTATGTGTGTTACTGAGAGTTGAACCCAGGGCTTTTGCATTGAGCAGCATCGCCAAGCCTTTTTTGAGACAGGGTCTCCCTCAGTTGCCCAGCAGGGCTCACACTTGCAGTCCTGCCTCAGCCTCCCAGAGTGCTGAGATTAAAGGCACGTGCTACTACACCTGGCTTCCCATAAGTTTTTGTATACCTTCACCTTTAAGTTAAAAAATATTTTTTCTGACTATAGAATTCTAGATTTAACTAATTTTTTCCTTTCAGTACTTTAAAGATGTTGTTTCATAGTGCATGCCTATAATCCTAACGTTCTTGGAGCTGAGGCAGGATGGTCACAAGTTCAAGGCCAGCTGGGACTCCATGCAGTAAGACCCTATCTCAGAACAGATAAACAAAAGGAATGTTGTCCCACCATGGCTTTACGTGCTCTGTTACAATGAGGAATCTGATGTCATGCTTCCCTTTGTCCCTCTGTACATAATGTGTTCCCTCCCTGTGGCTAGTTTCAAGACTTCTCCATTATTGGGAGCCGGGGATGTAGCTCAGCAGTATAGCACCTGCGTGGCAAGCGTGAGGTTGTGAATTCGATTCCTAGTACAAAAAAACACAGCATAAATTGGGACTGGGGATTTAGCTCAGTGGGTCTACCACTGAGTGCCTGCCTGACAAGCACAAGGTCTGGAGTTCCATCCCCCACACCAAAGAAAAGATTCCCCCAGTATCACTAGTTTTGAGCAACTTAATTACGACGAGCTTTACTGTGATCTTCACATTTCCTATGCTTGGAGTTTGTTGCAATTCTTGGGTCAGTAGGTTTGGTGTATTCTGTTTGTTTGTTTTGTTTTGTTTTTAAGAAAATTATGGAAAAGTTGTTTCCCATTTGCTCCTTTCCCACTTTCCCCGCAGCTCCAACCTCCCTTAGGCTGCTTGAGGTGCCCACGGTTCTCTGTTGCTGGTTGTTGCTGTAATGTTTTCCTGGGTTTCCTTTTGGGTAATTTCTTCAGGTCAACTGATTCTTCTTGTGGCCATCAATTTGCTGTTAGCCCTGTCATTGGATTGGTCATCTCATGCATTGCCATTTTTGAGCTAGAAGTTTAATCTGAGTCTTTTTTCCTATTTCCTGTGTCTCTGGTTTTTTTAAAATAAGGAACATAGTTATAACTTTTAAGGTCCTTATTTGCTAATTTGTTCATTTTTGTCAGTTCTTAATCAGTTGCAATTGGTTGATTTAACTATTCATTATATATCATATTGAGCCGGGCATGGTGGCTCACTCCTGTAATCCCAGCATTCCAGAGGCTGAGGTGGGAGGATTGCCATGAGTTCAGACCAGCCTGTCTACATAATGCACTGAAAGCCAGCCTGAACTGCACAGTGAGACCCTGTTTCAGAAAAAAAAAGTCCTATACCTCACATTTTACTGCTACTTTGTATGCCTGTTAATTTTTGTAAATGATAGTGTTACACAAATTTTGGCTGAATGCTAGCTAATTTGTATTCCTGTAAGTATCCTTGAACTTTGTTCTAGAACCTAGTATTTTGAGCACAGGTTTTTTTTTTCCTTCTTCTTCTTTTTTATTGGTACCAGTGATCGAACTCACAACCACACACTTGCAAGGCAGAGGCGCTTATGCCACTGAGCTAAATCCCCAGCCCCTTTTAAGCACAGTTTGATCTATTAGGTGCTGCTTTTAAAATTAGTTGGTTTGACCAGAGCAGAGGTTGGTTTAGTGTTAATTACTCCCCACTATTAAAGCAAGGGAACTGTAACTGGTATTCCATGGATCCAGCTAAAGAGTCTTAACTTGAAAATTAAATTAAAAAAAAATAAATCTATAAGAATATTACAGGGCCAGGGATTTAGTTCAGCAGCATAAGCACCTGCTTGGCAAACATGAGGACATAAGTTCAGTCTCCGATACCAAAAAAAAAAAATTGTACAACATTTTTATTTTTTTTCTTAGATATAGGGAAAGGCTTTTCTGACCAAGACAAAATTTAGAAACCATAAGAGAAACAGTTTTCAGGTTTGATTACACAAAAATTAAAATTGTCTGAATATCAAAGCCAAAGGAAATCACAGACTGGGAGAAAAACGGTATTTTAAAAGGGGGAAAGAAGTTAATGTCTAGAGTACATAAAAGTAAGCCAGGCATGATGGTGCACACTGTAATCCTGGCACTAGAGAGGGTGAGGCAGGAGGGGGTACAAGTTCAAGGACCGCCTGGGCAATGCAGCAAGACCCTGACTCAACAATAAAAAAATAAAATAGGGCTGAGACATAGTTAAGTGGTATTGCATTCTTTTTGAGACAAGGTCTTGCTCTGCAGTTTAGGCTGGCCTTGAGTAGCCCGGGTTGGCTTTGAACTCACAGCAATCTTCCTACATCAGCCCCACTGAGTGCTGAGATTACAGGCATGCACCACCATGTCCAACTTGGTATTGCATTCTTGACCCTCAGTACAAATCTTTTTTTTTTTTTTTTTTTTTTTTAAGCAAAAGATGAACTAAAACTAAACAGGAAATTTATAAAGAAAAACAAATAAAAGGCCAGTAATCAAATGAATACGTTTCAACCTTAATTGCAAAACAATCAACCCTACTTCTCACTCAGCAGATTACTCTTTACTCTGTAAAGAGTACAAAAGGCCGCTAATGTCCACTGTTTTGAGTATTGAGCCTAAGACTTTAAAGTGTTAGGTGGGGTCTCCTGGACAACAGATTGGTGACATCTAACACAACTTAAATTGCGTTTCCTGCTTGGGTTGTAATTTCAATTCTAGAATTCATTTATTCTATAGAAATACGCATATATGCACAGAACTCAGTGTCTGAGCTCTGTAAAGGAACCACCCTAAGCCAGGGGCGGTGGCCTGTCCTGCAGTTCCAGCACTTTCGAGGCTGAGATCTGAGGATCACTTGCACTTAGGAGTCTAAGAGGAGCCCCAGCAATACAGCAAAACTCTACCTGTAGGAAAAGGGAAACAGTCTCATCTCAGGTCCATGAACAGAGGACCAGCAGCTGGGCGCAGTGTGCAGACCCATAACCCCGGATACTCAGAGGGCTGAGGCAGGAGGACTGAGAGATCCATGCCAGAGAGACCCTGTGTTAAAACAAAATAAAAACAGGAATGATGATACAGCTCAGTGGCAGAGCACTATCTGCTCCCCAGTACTGCAGAAAATGATGAATAAAAGGGGACTAGATAAGGAAACCATGATCATTCGCTGTGTGGGATGCTGTAGTTTTGTTAAGTACCAGTGAAGCCAGGTGTGAAGGCACACACTTGTAACCCAGCACTCTTGGAGGCTGAGGCAGGGGATCACACATTCAAGCCCAGCCTGGGCAACTCAGCAAGTTAATGAAACCCTATCTTTAAAAACAAATGTACTTCAGTACAAAGACCCTGGGTCCAGTCCCCACAGATGCACAGATGAAGCCTCCTGCCTGGGAACTGTTAGCATTCAGTAGATGTGGACTGGTGACACCTGGCTCACCATTGTCCCTTATCTGAGGCAAGGCTGATACTACATCTCACATGCATTTTTGAAAAAGAAGACGACTTTCACAACTTCAGTGTCTCACTTAGGTTTCAGTGTGTGGGTCAGTCTGATGTCCTGGTCACATGAGAACACCCCCACCCCAGAGAGTTTAAGGCCATGGAGATACTGCACCGGCAACACTCTGGTTTCCAGTTCTTCAGTGGCACCTTGACCTGTTTCTCTCGTCTTGCACTGAGGTGCATCAGGGCAGGCCCGCTGGGGAGAGCCTCACCACTACCAGCTTCTCGAAGCCTCTGCACACCTTGTGTCTGTGTTACCCTTTCGCTGTTCATCTTTGCTGATAGGACAAGGATCGTTAGCGTCCGAACTCATACCAGTAAAACTCACATTTGTCCTCTTAGCAGAACTAAGGCTTAACTAGCAGGTCAAAGACTTCCTGCAGTGTATGTGCCACAGGAAGGTAGATGAAGAATAACACCTTGTCTCTTTCTCTTTACAGCTGTCCCCAACCTCTTCATGCTGGAGACAGTGGATTCTGTGAAGCTGGCAGACAGAGTCAACAACTCGTGGCAGAAAAAAGGTTCTCCTGAAAAGTTAAAGGTTATGGTCCAGATTAACACCAGTGGCGAGGAGAGTAAGTGACGAGACCTAGACTGCTGGTTTCTTCTCTTTAGGTGGCTGCAGCACAGGGAGAGTGGCGAGGGAAACATCTCACAAGTGAGGTCGTGGATAGAAGCCACGGGCTTTTACGTTAGCGACCGCATGATCTAGAAGTGCAGCAGCATGCAGGCAGTCTCCATATCCTTGTGGGTACGTCCTGGGGTCGTATCTTAGTGGGTGCATCCCAGCGTTGTGTCTCAGTGCATAGGTCCTGGTGTTGTATCTTTTTTTTTTTTTTTTTTTTTAACTTTTTATCGGTACCGGAGATCGAACTCACGACTGCCTGGTTGCAAGGCAGGCGCTTATGCCGCTGAGCTAAATCCCCAGCCCCTCTGGTATTGTATCTTAATTGATGCTAGTGTTACATCTTAGCGAATACATCCTGGTGTAAATCTTAGTTAATGCATTGTGATGTCATATCTTAGTAAAATATCATGATGTTAAATCTAAGTTTTGGGAAGAAAAGGAATCAAGAAAGGAATATAACTTTGATCTACCGAATATCTCCAAAAGTGATTATCACTCCAAAAAGGAATTGTAGAGTGCCAGGTACACTGTTTCTTAAAATGTTAGTGTTACCGTCGAAGAGAACAGAAGAAGCCCTAGTAGTACACGGCGTGGGGTAGGGTAGCAGGATAACATGAGGAGGAGCCTGGTCTTTGAAAGAACTGACCGTGGGCTTGCACTGTGACGCTTTCATCCTAGATAATGTCTCTTCAGCTCCCTGTCTTGCCCTGACAGCGGCGTCATAATCCGCTTCAGGTATGGCAAGGACTGAGCATGACAGTACCGGCGGAGCCGGGAGCACTGAACTCTGCCAGCTCACTCGCTATCATTTTGTGAAGAATAAGCATTTAAACTGGGAGTGTAGCTCAGTGGTAAATAACTTGCCTAGTTTGCAATAAAAAAGAAAGAAATTTGTAAAGATCATGTATTTGCACCGGTATTCACCAAATCTTAGCATGAAGATTGATTGTACCAAATCAGAGCCTAGGCATATAGGCATCTTTTCCAAATAGGCCCTGGAGGGGTCTGGGGATTTAGCTCAGCGGCATAAGCACCTGCCTTGCAAGCAGGCGGTCGTGAGTTCGATCTCCGGTACTGATTTAAAAAATAAACCCCAGATAGGGCCTGGAAGCAGGCTGCCTGGTCCAAACCACAGGTCAGCATTCCTAGTTATATGACCCAGGAAAGATTCTTAGCCTCCCTGGGCCTCAGTTTCCATCTTTAGGATGGTGCTAGTAAGAGTACTTAACGTGGAGAATAACATTTCTTTTTTTTTTTTTTTGTCTTTTTCCTTTTTTATCGGTACCAGGGATCGAACTCACGACTGCCTGCTAGCAAGGCAGGCGCTTATGCCGCTGAGCTAAATCCCCAGCCCCAGAATAACATTTCTTGAGTCATAAAGGCGCAGAAGCATGGATCTGTCGGACCCATGTTTATACCTTTAGACTATTTCTACAGATGATAGGTTAATTTTAATTTTATGAGTTTTATTGTATTAAACAATAAGTACAGGAAAAAAATCAAAAAATGAAGTACTGAATTTTTAATATTTACTGTTTATTTAAAAACGTCAAAATTTTCAACATCGACTCTCTTGGTATACAAAGTCTGAAAAAGACAGCACAAATTTTTATATGAACTACAATTAAAATACTGATAGCACTTTAGAAAAAAAAGTCCTTAATTATCACACCGAAGGCTGTCTGCACACATGACAACACACACACGCATCACCTACACTGACAGCACATGTGTTCTGCTTTCCTGGCCTGTCTGCAGGACACGCTCACCATCTCTTACTGTTTTGTCAGGAGGTTCTTATTGTATAATACAGTCTGTAGTTAATAGGAACAAAATATCAGTAAAATACTAAATTCTTACTATGTATCGTGCATTTAGAATAACCATTTTCAGATCAGCTATGTACTTCCTTGCAAAACCTAGAAGATAACATGAGAAATAAATTCCTACATGAACTACAACAAAAATACCAATAAAACCCTACCACAAAAATAAGGGCCATCTTCTCACATGCGAATTGCATGCTCCATGCACACATCCCACGCTGACAGCACGTGGCTTAGCCTTCCTTTCCTGTGTGGCCGTCTTGGCACCTCTCTTTTTTTCCTGGTTTGTCAGAAGCTTCCTATTGTATCATAGCGAAGAAGTAAGATGTCAATAAAATATCAAATTGGTAGTGAGTGCTTAGAATAGACATCAGCATTTTCACATCAGCTGTTTACTTGCTTACAAAAATAAAAACCTCTGTGAACTTCAATGTAAATACAAATAAAAGTCTACCAACAAAAATAATGATTGCTTCAACTGTCACACCCAAGATGGTCTTCACACGTGACAACTACATGCTCCATACACAAGTTTTGCTTACAGTGTTAGCACATATATGTTGTTTTTCTGTCCTTTCTTGTAGGGCACAGTTGACACCTTTTATAAGTTTTCCTACTGTAGGTCTTTGTGATGCTACTACATTTGTTCACCTTCTGCTCACCAGTGTGCTCCACAATTTTTTTGCATTTTTCCTTGGGTGGAAACATTTTGCTTTTCCTCTGCTATAAATGCTCTCTTACGAATTTCAGTCCCATTCCTCTAAGAAAGTTTCTCTGTGGTATTTTGCACTGTTACCTTCTTTGTAAACTATCAAACTATGTTCAAACATGTGTTCCCCACATGTGTAGGATCAAGTGAAACAGAACCGTTGGCCAGTGCTCTGTGTTTCAAGTGACATCATAGTTGCTGCATAACTCATCAACAACGTCACCTCGATCTTTGGTTTTGTTGTAGAAAGTTTTTATCTCAGGCTTCCATTTGTCAAAATTTCCCTGTCAGTATTTCCCTATCATGTGAGATGGTGACTTCAGCAGTACCAATGTGTTTTTCTTTGCCATATACAAGGCTAATGTTATATCTTTCTGAAATCCAAAGATTGTATTATGCAATTCTTTGTTTTGACATTGCAACATTTCATTTGGAAGTTCTGCTTTGTTCCTTCATGTAGTTCCTGTGCTGGTAAACTCATGCTCTGTTAACAAATGAAACATCAGTCAAAAACTGGTAAACGAATAGTTGCATGTCACACTCCAGTTGGTTTGAGAGGAGAAACAAACCTCTTCACAATAACATTTGGTTTGTTATATAATAAGTACCTAGTGACTGAGTTCCAGGAAAAATGTCTATAAACTGAAAGCAGAAGTCTGCATCTACAAGGGCATGAATTTTTATGCCCTATCTTTATCCATCACTTTTCCTTAAGTCTTTTAGATCCCTGCAGTTACCATGAGGAATCCCTGCTAAGTACAGTGAGCTGTCATAATAAATATATTTTTTAATATGGCTACTGGTGCACACTGAACATTTTACTTGCATTTCAGCCTTTGTGTGTTTCACCGCATCTTCTAGCATTTCATCTGTTGAAACTTCCAACATTCAATGGCAGTTCTGGCATTCTATCTGAATATGTTTCACCCTTGGCAAGACATTCACTGTACTTTTGGACCTAGTTCTAACATGGAATCATTCCATCTGGTTGTGTAGCCATTTTGCAACATTTCAACTAGTCAAACATGTACTCACATTATTTTTTTCTTCCTCCTCTGAATCAAGGAGGTTTGTATTCCTGTATCTCTGTCAGTCAGTTCTTGCTCCATTTCACTGTCACACATGGCCAGTGTCAAAGCAGCAGCAACAGCAGCAGCATACAACCACACCACTCTTCTGTTACAAAGGCATTTTACTATACATGCTTCATCATCCATGCATGAGTAATATGATGATTCACTTTTTATACTTTTTTTTTTCTTTTTATCGGTACCGGGGATTGAACTCACGACCACCTGCTTGCAAGGCAGGTGCTTATGCCACTGAGCTAAATCCCCAGCCCCTGATGATTCACTTTTGACTTCTTGCAAAACTTGAAAATCTGGTTTTTAATGTGTCATTCTACTGAATTGGGCCATTTCTACCAGAAAAATCAAAAGAAAACTTACTTTTAAAAAATCCTGGAGTGGCTGTGAGTCTGTTGAGCCCTCGGTGATGCTCAGGTTAACACGCAAAACCAGTAGAATGTAGCATAATATGGGTAAAAATTCCATTTTGCCACTTTTGCACATATGCACACACCTTGCCATTTATCATACCAAATGGGCATCCCTCAGGGAAAGGTGCTGAGATGCACAAACAGCTTATTATGCTAAAGTAAAACTGTACAGTAGAAAGGTGAGGGTTGGGTCTACTGGACCCTGTGTTATGATCCTTAACCTCATAAAGCAATGGTGGCAAACATTTTAAAGCTTTCAGTGATACAGCCCACCGCAGCACTCATGCCGTAAGTTCAACACCATTATCATAGAGTTACCATGTTAAACAAGAAGCTCTTAGGATGCAGCACACGTGCCGGGGCTATAGCTCATTACATTGTGAATCGGAAAGTGACTCTAGATCATTTGCATTACATCATTTCCTCGTAACTAGCTATAACTTGCCCTAATTAGTGATTGAAGTGAATGTTCCCTGGCACTTCCATTTGATAAATAGGGGTGGGACAGAATCCATGATCCATACAACTACATAACAAGTGGTCCCCACTGCTGATTCCCTCCCACTATTAACAAGTTCAGTTAAACTTTGTGAATGCAGTCAGAAGTATTTAATATATACCTTAGTTTTTGTAGTTCCATTAATAAAAATTAATCCCAATTCATCTGGGATTTTGACACTGAATCTTGGGGGAGGGTGGTAACCCAGGAAATGTAAGGGGTTTTCTTTTCCCTCTTGTTCAACTCTTCTCATCTAAAATCCTGAAATATTCATGCCTGTAATCCCAGCACTTGGGAGGCTAAGGCAGGGAGATTACCATGAGTTCAGTGCCAGCCTGGTCTGCCTAATAAGACACTGTCACAAAAAGCCAAAACAATAAAATCTGAGTAGAAGGGCTGGGGCTGGGGCTCAGTGGTAGAGTGCCTGCCTAGCACGCCTGACATGCTGGGTTCAGTCCCCAGTAATGCAAAATAAATAAATGAGTCTATCTGAAGGCATATATTGTTCAGCTTCCCTGTTGCTAAGACAGAAGTTTAGAACCTGATTAGAAAGCCTCCTTCCAAAGAAGACCCCAGATAGAAAGTTCCTCCTCTTTAAAATGTGAAGGTTTGCTTCCCAGGGTCTTCAGCTAGTGTCACCTCCACTGTTGGCTGGGAAGGACCGGAAACACCCTCAGGCCATTGAGGCCATCTGGGCATCCCCATCTCTGTTTCTTTTATGCAGGTAAACATGGCCTTCCCCCCTCAGAGATGATAGCCCTGGTGGAACACCTGACTGCCAAGTGCCCCAGCCTGGAGTTCGTGGGGCTGATGACCATAGGAAGCTTCAGCCACGATCTCAGTCAAGGACCAAATCCAGACTTCCAGGTACTGGGGCTGCAGTGGGGGAGTAGGGAGTAGCCTGGGGGAGGGGATTTTTGACATGCAAAACAAGTATCCTGGGGCCTGAGCAGCGATGGCAGTGCGTACTTGGCGCACATGAGACCCTGCTCAGCTCGCATCCTCGGCACCACAAGGAAAAGCAAGCAGAAGCGTCACGGCCACTGCCATCGCAGGGCTGGGCACTGCGCTAACTCAGCACCCCAGATGTTGCCTGTCTGGTATTAGAGCCAACATCTCCGCATGAGGGAAGGAGAAGAGCAGGTTTCCAAACCCCAGCAAATCTTTTTCAGCTCAGTTTGAATTTGGCTAAGAAAATTTTTCAGAATGAGCTTTCTCCCTCTCTAATGACTGAGTTTCACTGTTGTGTTTTGTTTCATTTCTGGTGCTAGGGCTTGAACCCAGGGCTGCGCACATAACGGGCCAAGCCCGGTCCTGATAGTTTCCTTGGGAGCTGAGGACTTCGCTAACACCCTTACAGTGCCCTCTGGCAACCTGTGCAGGCCTCCCCTCATGAGCATGGACTCCGTGTCCAAGGTCTGTGTGTCTGACGACCTCCAGGCAAGGAAGAAGGCAGGGGTAAAGCAGGTGTTGTCCCCCTCCTGTTCCCATCAGATGCTGCGGTCCCTGCGTGCAGAGCTGTGTGAAAAGCTGCGCATTCCCACCGAGCAGGTGGAACTGAGCATGGGCATGTCCGGGGACTTCCAGCACGCGGTGAGTGTCCCTCTGCAATGAGGGGCCAGAGGCTAAAGCAGGAACAGGCTTTGGCCAGTTCTTTCATTTTGTCAGAGATAGGGTCCCCCCAAGTTAACCATGCTGGCCTCAAACTCATGATCCTCCCACCCTGCCCTCCTGAGCAGCTGGAATTAGCCAGGCGTGGGGCATACACCTGTGGTTCCTACATGAGAGAGGCTAAGGTAGGAGGATCTTGAGTTTGGACCAGCGTGGATTACTTAGTGAACCTAATAAAACAAATAAAAACTAGCTGGGACAGGTGTACCCTACCACAGCTGGTAAGAATAGGTTTTTCCTGGAAAAATCTTTGAAAATGCTCATCAGAGAGCAATAGGGGGTCCCAGGCACAGTGGTTCTCTATTCTGACATTTCTCCCCTTCTCTATCTTTTTTTGTTTTGTTTTGTTTTGTTTTGTTGTTTTTTGTTTTTTGTCTTTCTGAGACAGGGTCTCACTGTTCAGACTGGCCTTGAACTTGCTTATGTAGCCTGTGCTGGCCATGGACTTGTAGTGATCTTTCTGCCTCAGCCACGTGGGTGCTAGGATTACAGGCACGTGCCAATATGCTGGGTCTGACACCTAATTTTTAGAAACAGTGTAATTCCTAAGTGTCATCTAAAGGGAAATTAGAAAATAAGCTATTGTCTGTGACTGTGGCTCAGTAGCAAGGCACAACCCTAGCATGTGCAAAGCCTGGGTTCAGTTCCCTAACTAAAGACAGAGAGCAAGAAGTCAAGTTAGACTTCACAAAGGCATTGGGTTACATAAATGCCAGGGCACAGATGTGACCAATTGATCTCACGTGTAGATTCACCGTGGATACAGCAGTTCTGTGCAGAATTGGATAGCAGGGCTTACTGGCAACTCTCATACCTGACTTCCTAGAATAGCAAATAATTCCATAAAGCGCCAAAACCAAAGGTTTTTTTTGTGTGTTTGGTTTTTGGTCTTTTTTTTTTTTTTTTTTTTTTTTTTTTTTGGCATTTTTTGAGCCCAAAGCCTTCACACTGAGCTACATCCCCAGCCCTTTTTCTCTTTTGTCTTTGACATACAGCCTCACTAAGTTACACAAACTGGGCTCAAATTTACAACTGTCCTATCTCAGCCTCCCAAAACGCAGGTATTACAGGTATATGTTACCACACTGGTGTCAAAAATTGAAGTATAAATTTGCATTCTTGGAAAAGTGTCCTACTAAAACAGTATAAAAATTCTTGTGTTTATAAGTTAAACACAACCAGATCCTGTGCTCAGATAATTCTAAGGAGCTTTGTCCTCTGCCTGACCATGGTGCATTAAGAAGCCACATGGGCCATGAAACAGCTTTTCCCTGTGTGGCTGTGTGGCTGTGTCCCCCACACCCATGATGGCCAACATCCCTGGTACCCCACCCCAATCCCATGTCCTGTGTTGTTAGCATTGCCCCCCTACCCTGTTTGTGGAATTCTCGAGCTCCCTGCCCCTGCAGAAGCCAAGGGAGAACTGCTGTTCTCTGGGCGCCCCTGGGACCTGTCCCTCCCCAAGGAACTGCAGCCCTCAGCTGTCCTCACAGACGCCGCTGGAGAGATACTCACTGCGTCTCACAGAGCCTGACTCTGCCCTCAGAATGTGAGAGGTGCCAGGCAGCTGGCACTTGACACTTTCTCCTCTTGCCTGCAGATTGAGCTTGGATCCACAAACGTCCGAGTAGGGACCACTATTTTTGGAGAGCGGGACTACTCCAAGAAACCCTTGAGGGAGGAGACCACAGCAGAGCCAGAGGCCCCCGCAGAGGCAACGCAGGGGCACTGAGCTGAGGCGATCGCTGTGCACAAGTGAAGTGTTCATCATGATGGCCCACCTGTGCCCTGCTGGGACCTGGACAGCCGTGAACAGTCACAGGTGTCAGCTGGAGCCATGACATAGGAAGCCTGCTGCAGACAGTGGCTTTGCATCAAGTTTGAGAATCCAGACTCTTCTGCAGAAACAGATGTCAAATCAGTAGCCAGGAATCGTGTCCTGTAATTGAATTCGGCACAGGAACACTGCTCGAGTCCCGAATACCTTCCCCAGGTTGGAGTACGGGCTGCTGTGCCCATCATCTTCCCTGCTGCTCATCCCCGCCTGTGGGAGATTCCCCACGATGGTCGCCTTTGCCACCCTGAAGCAAGGTGATTTCCATCCCCAGCACACAGGGGAAGTTCCCTGCTGCCGAGGGGCCATCAGTAACCTCCAGCCAGGACTCAAATGACAGCTCTACACACAGACTGTTACTGGCAACAGTTTTGTCACCACTGTGACTCTGAAATTTTAGGGTAACTGTAAATAGGACTTAGGCCTTCCTGACACCCTCCCTAAGAGAAGAGGCTTAGAACTCTTCCCTGGGGTCCCACTGTGATGGGACTGGAATGGTGTGATGCCTCCCTCCTCTGGAAGCCCCCTTTCTGGTGACTTAGCAAAAGCCTATAAAATCGCGTCCCTCCTCAGCAACCAGACACCTGAGGAGCACTTTGCAGATAGGCACAACCTCTGTGCAATCGGCCAGTTCCATGGTTGTTCTTGATTACTGATTAATACAATAGCAAGAGCTTCAAAAATCAGGAAGCACAACACTCCCAAGTTGACAGCTTCCATGCAAGCTGCTGTTTTCCAGATAGCTTTTCCTCTTATTCAAGCCGAAGTCTTTAATTTTATGAAACAACCGTGAGAACCTGACACTACTGCTGAATGTAATTTTGTAAAAACACCGTTATGATTCCTGTTTCAGAGCTGTGGTGTGATATTTCAGAGTCTATTAAATAAAATGTGAGTGTGAATTATACCAATCTGTGCCAACTAGAGAGCAATTAAAAGATTTATTTTCTATGACCTGGTGTAGTGAGTGAACACAGGGCAGCATCAGAACCAGCAGCAGGTGACCAAGCCCCAGCGCCTGGTGTCCTCCAGTCCAGCTTGGAGCAGGGCTTCCCTTGGGCCGCATGGCCAAAGCCATACTCTGGATGGAAAAGGATTCGAAACTTCTAAGGTGTTATGGTTGATGCAGTGTCAACTTGAGAAGTTTAGAAATTTAACAAAGAGACTCATCACAGCAAGGAGCCAGGATCCTTACTTTGTAAATATTCTGTGCACTTAGAATTTGGGAGTGCTATACTTGCCCTGGTGGGTCTTGGGGGCCCTTGTGTACAACATAAGGGAGGAAGAGAGCCCTGTTCCCCCAGCTTTTGCTCTGGCTGCTGTTTCTGGCTGCTGCCTTGAAGAGTTGCCCCTGTGCCATGCCACTCTGCCTTGCAGCCAGCTAATAATGGACTGAAGCTTCCACAGACTGTGAGCTAAATAAACTGTTTCCTCCGTAACTTTGGGTGTCAGGTGTTTGTTTCAGCAGCCAGAGAAAAGTAACCAAAACATAGGGCAAGAAAATGAAATCTTTATGTTGCAGAAATTACCAAAATGAAGAGGCTCCGTCTTGCAGTGGGGAACTCTAAATTGCCTCTAGGTGGCAACATTGGCTAACCTGAAGGGCAGGTGCTGGCCTGATGGGCAACACACACACACACACCCAAGGCCCTCTGCTCTGTTAGTCCTGCTCCCTCTTTCCAGGCAGAAGGAGCTTCCCGAGTGACAGCTCATTGGCAGAAGTTCAAGGTGCTCTCAGCTGCTTGATTCTCTGGCTAAGGGTCCAAAGGAAGCTGGAACCCTTCAGGAGAAGTGAGATTATCTGAGCCCTAAAAGATGTCCCTAGCCTGTGCCTGTAGATTAAAAGCAGGAGGCGTGGGCTGGGGATTTAGCTTAGCAGACAGAAGCATCTGCCTGGCAAGCATGAAGTGGTGAGTTCAATCCCCGGTACCAAAAAACAAGGACAAAAAACAGGAAGCACCCAGCCAAGGAGCTGGATCAGGGAGTGACATGGGCCTCCCTCTCCTGCCTATCCACATAGGACAGGGATCCTGTGGCAGGAAAATGCAGCCAGGTTGGGACACTCCTTTTTTGATCTTTTTTGTTGTGTTCTGTGTTAATTTTAAGATAAGCTCTCACAACCTGCCCAGGCTAGACTCAAGCTTGTGATCTGCCTCAGGCTTGAAAGTAACCGACAGGACAGATAAGAGCCACCACTCCTAGCCTGTGACGTTTTGTCATGCACAACAGGCAGCCAGTGTGGATTGCTCTGTTTTTTGTCAAAACAGTGAGCGCCCAGCAGTGTCCTGAGCCTCCACAGCACGCTGTCCTGGGTAAGTCCCACTACATGGCCAAGCATCTTTTCTGTTAATGGCCCAGGTCCTCATCTGCCTGGAGACTGCCTCGGGTGTGGACACCCACCCCCAGCCATCCAGCAGGGCCTCTTCTCTCGGGAAGTCCCTCACAGATTGGGTGAGGTCTTCCATTTGTTCTGGGTGCTAGGGAGACTGCCCCACCATGCTTCAGCCCTGGGGGGCCCACGGTGCTTAAAGTGACCTCTGCCTCAGATCATGCTGGCCCCTCGGAGACCCGTCAGCGCTCTCCCCTGTATTCTTCCACTTTAATTGCATGACAGCTGGTGGAGAATTTGAGATTTAGCCCGACGCCTTCGTGACCAGGGCACTGAGACCTTGTGAAGTCAGTCAGAGCAAGCCGGTAACAGGGCAAGAAGTAACTGAGCACTGCCTCCAGGCCACGGGTCAGTCACTAAAAGATGTGGGCTCTGCCTTGTCACGCTGAGTGGACTCAAGTTCACACTCATGCTGGGCATGCACTCCAGCTCAAGTTGCAGCCCAGCCCCACTCAATAAGCCTGCACCCCTCAGCTCAGCTCGCACCTCAGGGGAGAGCCACGCTGCTGTTGCTGTGAAAGCAATGCGCCTGCTTAGGTGACTGTGGTAGTTGAGAACTTACCCCTCTTAATGTAGGACAAACAGAAACCACCACCAACAGGGGCAAGACAGAAGGAGACAACTACACCACTGAAAGCTGGGGTGAGTGGGCTGAGCCTCCCTCCCTTCTGCCCTCCAGCTCCCTGGCAGAAGTCCCTCCTCCAGGTTCAAGCTGTCCCACCAGCCCTGCCTCCCAGCCTGCACCAGCCACCAGTTCTGCTGCTGCTGCAGGCCAGATATGGAGGAACAAGGCGGACTGGGACAGTCTGCAAGCCCAAGACATCCTTGTCCTTGGAAAACAAGGAAAGCTCACTGCCTCCCAAAGCTTCAGAGGGGGTGGGCCGTGAGCTGCGGGGCAGGCGGGGCACTCAGTGGTGCAGTGGCTACTGTTGGCTGGGTGCTGTTACATCAGCCTCCTGACTAAGGACGGGAGGCTGTGAGCCATTGTCCTATGGTCCCAACCTCCTACAAATCCGCCCTCCCTCATGGAGGACCTAGGTGAAGAAAAGGACTTTTTGTCCTTTTGTAGTGATTCTGGGGATGGAAACCAGGATCCTGCATTTGCTAGGTAAGTACTCTGCCACTGAGCTACTCCCACAACGCAAAAGAAGAGGACTTTCTTTTCCCCCCCCTGCAGTTTGTACAAGTGTACACTAGGGCTATGTGTGACCAAACAGCCATTCACGGGGTCCTTACATTCAAGTTCCTCTCCTATAATCATTGTGAGGTCCTAAGGAACCTCAGAGCTGACACTTCATTTTATAAAGTCTGAGACAAGCCAACAGCAAGGGCTCATACCTATAATCCCAGCTACTTAGGAGGCTGAGGCAGGAGGGTCACAAATTCAGTGATATCTGAACTACATAGAGAGCCCCTGTCTGAAAGGCAAGGGGCAGGGGGCTGGATATGTAGCTCAGTGGTAGAGCTCCCCCACCCTGAGTTCCATCCCCAGGACCAGAAAAAAGCAAAAGTCTGGCATGTATCAGCTGCAGTGGCACGTGATGGGGAGGGAAAGAGAGATTTTGACATCTTTTTTGTATTTAAAATGCATCTCATGAGCTCTGGCTCGTGAGCTTTGGAATGTCCAGGAAGCAGATGCCTCTCTGTGTGCTGGAGTGCTCCTCAGATGGCCCTGGTCACGCTCACAAGCTGGAATCCCCCTGTGCCAGCTGCACATTGGAGTCTGTCCCCACCCAGCCACTGAGGAGCAGCGTTAGGCTCCTGTTCAGAGCGGAGCTTGACCGGGCTGCCAATCTCCAAAATACAATCAATGTGTGACCTTATTCAGCAGATGTCTGAAGAAACAAGCACAGCCCTGGGCCAACTTTGAAGTCAGAAAGGGAAGATGAGAAGTTGGGAGAGAGAAAGAGGAGGGAAAAGAAACTTGGCTGGACATGAAAGGTGTCTTGTCCGTCTGTTCCCCATTAGGCACAGCTCTCTCTCAATGTTGCAGCCTCAACATAATTCTCCTGACCAGAAACTCTCTGGAGAGACAGTGTCAGAGGAAAAACAAACAGACTAGCGTCTTCTGACAGCAAAGTCACTTAAAAACCGATTTGCAGGAGAAGAGGAACGATGTCAGCATGTCAGGGCAGGACACTCCTGGAAGCAGGCCATGTGAGGGGATGCCTTTGTTGGAGTTCAGACAAGGATCAGAAGGGGGTCTCCCCAGGAGAGGTGCCATGCAGAGCCAAGGGAGCTCCAAGAAACAAGATACCCGGGTTGTCTGTCTCAGAATCTGCCCCATCTGGCTTTTCAAATTGAGAACTCACAGCACCTGCCAGCATGCATGAAGGGCCCTGGGTTCCATCTGCAGCACCCCAGAAACCCACTGAAACCCACTGCATTGGAGCGGAATGTTTGTCCTCAGTTGGCTTTCCCATTGCTGATGGCCCACAGCCTTTAAGGGGTGCAGCTCTCAGCAGGCCCTGGGGGTCTCTCTCCCAGCACCCCCGACATGTTGGAGAGGAGCTGGGCAGCATGTGGGAGGAGCCCAGAGCAAGACTCTGCAGGGCTGGGGCTGGCAGGGCGGCCAGGGCGGCAGCTCCACTCAAGTTTCCGGGACCGGCATCTTTTATTTTTTTAAAGGAAGAAAAACTAATCAGCAGAAAGAAGTGAGAGCTCGCCCCTGCCTCTTGGACTTGTTTATTACTGGGATATCTGATTTCAGCAAAGGAAGCCGGCTCTGAAGCAAGGTTTTTATTGGCCGTGAGCAAGAGGAATTCAGGGTTTGCCTTTGATTTGGCTTCCCCAGAACACGCGGCACTGAAGAATATGCTTGCTGCTTTGATGGAGCAGCTCGGTTCTGGGCCCCCTCCCAAATTCTGTTTTGGCAGCGTAGACACAAATTCCCCTCTCGGGACAAGGGTAGAGTGAGGGGCAGTGGAAGGGGCTAGATGAAGAGGAGGAAGGTGAGCAGGACTTGGGGGGGGCGGCCCTCCCTGCCTGGAGTGAGGGGCCTGGAGGGCAGTCTGCTCCCTGCTGGAGGAAAGGCTGCAGCCCAACTGGGCCTGATGGCTTCAATGTGTCAGGAAGATAAAGCCAGAGAATGGAGAGGCAGCCTCTGCCAACATCACTCCCAGGCCACGCGGCCCAGGGCAGGGTGCCCAGGTTCCCCAAGACACCCTGCAAAGGCAAAGAGCTCTGCGCCCCTCACTCTGGCTGGAATGGCCTCCTGCCTCCTGCTGGTCCCCAGAGGGCAAGTGTCCCTCCAGCCACCTCTCTCCTTTATCTTCAGCATCTCCTGTCTCTGTCTGCCTTTCCCTTGCGCCCCTTATCCCTTCTGGTCCAGGCCTGGAGACGGGAGAACCCCATGGGAGGAGACAGAGGTGGGCCAGGCCCTGAGGCTGCTGCTGGGCTGCAGACTCCAGGGCCATCAGAGATGAGCTGTCCGCAGGGAGGGGTGGTGCTGGGTCCTGCTCACTCCCTTCCTGTCCTGGTTTGTGACTAGGAGGCAGTAGGTGACAGGAGAGGCCGCTCTTCCTCTCTGGGCTGTGGGTCACCACAAGTGCTCCCTGTGACAAGGCTTGGGCTTGGACTCACCTCGTAGTGGTTTGGGAGCTGCCAGCATGGCCCTGCTCACCTGTGAGGCCAGGTCCACCTTGGCAGTCAGTGCAGCATTGGCACTCTGAGCAGGGGGCAGGACTGGGGAACAGAGCTCCCACTGTACCTGCTGCAGGGACCCAGTCATCCACAGGGCGTGTGCAGTGAATTCAAGATCCTGCCTGGGATGGGAGGAGCTGCAGGAGAAGCAGACAGAGAGCCCTCTACACTCTCATCTGTGCATACACACAGCCACGCACACACAGCCCCCTATATGCACACACAGCACCACACACACACAGCCACACACACACATGCACAGCCACATACATACACATGTAAATATACAAACATACATAGCCATAAGCACACATTCATGTGTGCTGTAGTCAGGAGTTGTGAGGAGAACAATTAGAATGAGGACACAGAATTTATAATATTATTTTATGATGATCACCTGGAGTTAAA